GGTGGCATGGCTGCTGACGTCATCAAGGGGGCCGCTCTCAAAAGGTACGTGAAAACCTCGGACACTCGGACACCTTGGTTCCGTCAATTACAGTAGATTATTGGTGGCAAGGTTGCTGTCATTAGAGAGACCGTCTGTCAATTGAAGGTGCTCCCAGAACTCGGACACTAGGACACCTTCGAGCCGTTGGTTACAATAGATTATTGGTGGCATGGTTGCTGACGTCATCACGGGAACCGCTCTTAAAAGGTTCGTGAGAAACTCAAACACTCGGACACCTTCGTGCCATCTGTTCAAGTGTGTCCGTTGTTTATGTACTTAGGGCTAGTGCTTGGACCAAACAAGATCATATTCCGACCTTGCAATGGAGCAACTCTCTGATGGTCATACGCTATGCCGAGCCGTTGGGGTGACCTTCAAGAATAGACAAGCTGCGGTTCGCAACCTGAGGATCGGCCAAGAGCTTGTGCTTCTTAAGCACTTGGGGAACGGCTTCGACTCATATGCAATTGATATCTTCCAGTTGGCAGATTGCAGCATGCCACTCGGCTTTATTGGACGCGATGATAAGCACCACAAGGTTTTTGAGCATGTTTGTGCGGGTTCGGGGTTGCCAGCAAGAGTCGATCGTATCAACCGAGGTAGGGGCGGTCGCGGGCCATGGGGTTTCACAATAGCGATCGCAGACTCTGCAGACTGCAGCAAGATGGCTCCTCCTCTAAATCTTACAAACGTTTGCCAAATTGTGATTAAGAGACCAGAAGAAGTACGGGGCTTGAAAGAAAAATGAGCAAGCGTGTGACACCTCTTTTGCCGAACGTATTGTAGCCACACGATGGACGCAATCTTGGGCTATCGTCCTCCAACCATGTTTGCAGTCGAGCAGATGGATCGAGCCGTTCTTGAGAGTGCCAAGACCGCAATAGTGAGATCGTACAGAGAGTTTGGGATGCTTGAAACGATTTTTGATCCAGCAGCCCTAGCGGGAATTCGCGCCCTGGCAAAACCGTTCAATCTGCGTCACATCACTAGAGCGCTTGTGCGATCCCCAATGCTGAAGGCTTCCACTCTTACTGGGATTGAAGCGGCATGCATGGACCATTTGCTGTCAAAGTGAGCTGGCGGGTTGCCCTTAAAAACGCGTCTCGGGCTCAACGTCAACCAAAGAAGCTGCGGTTGAAAGAACTACGGCTCACGGCTCCCTCTCACAAAGGAGAGTCGATTTCTCCCATCGGTCATACAAGTATCAAAGCCCGTTCTCCATCGAGTCCCGGATATGCCCCTAGTATGGTGTGGAGTGATGCGCCAATCTTGGATTTAGAGGCGCTTGCAAATTCCAACAAGGTTCGCCATGCTACCGAATCTTTGCGGGAATCCTCTCCCAGATAATTGAACCTCTGAAAAGGCACCGTTCTAGAAATTATGTACACTCATATTCAGGTATCTGGCAATACTCTGTTATCGGCCGATAAAAGAGGGGCGTTAAGGCCCCCAAGCCGGATTGTAGAAGCTTTCGCGCGTGAGATAACCATGAAAAGCTCCTAGGCGCACCAAAACTGTGAAAGGAAAGATAAACACGAAGATTCGGTATCTGAGCACTCCGCGGCTAGATGCCGTTCATCTTTTTTTTCTCAGTATCTAGATACCCCAGGGCATGGCAGCTTCGGATGCAACCACAAAGGTTATAAGAACCTCGACGTCAGCCGAACGACTGCTTCACAATATCTTTGATGACTCGACACGAAAGCCGTACACGGTCGAGCAATATTGTGCACGGGTGATGCGCCTCTTCAAGAGCATGCATGCTCCAAAGGAGGATTTCGAGAATCTCGATTGGGTCAGATCTACGAATGAGATCATTGCGTTTCTTGGCAATGCTTATGGCAACAAACTACCAACTCAAGCAACGAGCATAAGCCCTCTCCTCGTCATAGCTCGGAAACTATGGCCCAGTGATCAACGGACCTACGAGGCACTTTTAAAGAGATACACTGCCGTTAGAAAGGCCATGGAAGATGCTCGGCCCGCCCAACATATGTCAGAGCGAGAGGCAAAGAACTGGAAGTCGTTGGACGATATCAATCAACGCCGCGTCGAACTTCAACGGAAGATCAATCGATCCATCGCGCCCAAAAAGCCGGAAGAGGTCACGGTTGCGGATAAAGTAACGCTTTGTCGCTACCTCGTGCTATGTTTATACACCCAGATGCCTGCGATCCGTAACGACTGGAGCAATCTTCCCATTGTGCGCTTTGAAGAGATTGGGAGCACCGCCGCACGTGAGCTGATGTCCGGATCCCGCAACTACCTTCTGGAATATGCAAAAGGAAGCTATAGGCTCCATCTCAAGTCGTACAAAACCGACAAGACACACGGACCACATGTTCTTGACATACCGGTCCGGCTTGGCAACGTGATTGCGGAGAGTCTCGCTATCTTCCCGCGAAAGTACCTGCTCAGCCGAATGAGGACACCAGATGCTCCGATGGGATCAGGATACTTGACGAAGTTCTTGGCTGCCATTTATCCAGATTCGAATTTGGGTTCGTGCCTTTTAAGAAAAATCACAGTCAGCAATGCTATGAAAGATGCCCCTAGCCTCTATGAAAGGGACCAGCTGGCAAAGTCAATGTTGCATACGGCACCAATAGCGATGCGCCACTATGAGCTGAAGTACAGACCGGACGGGTCTCGGATTCAATTTTGAGCGGTTTCACTCCGTCCACTTGCCACTTGAAAGCTCGTTTAGGACACTTCGATACCTGCTGTGAACAAACTCATTGGAACGGTTGGTTTTCAGGAATCATCCAGCATGTTCAAAGAGGCCGTTTGAGGCATGTCAAAGCCAGCATCGATCAGTCGTTGAGTTGTAGTCTTATGAAGCTTCTTTGTTCGACCACTCACGTACCTCTGATACGCCTTGCGTATCAAAATTGCTTCGTGATGTCGATAATAATATGCCCTCATGTTAGCATTGTGCTGCTCCGAATGAGTTTTTGCGTATTCCCTGTGCTTTTGGCAAGCTTGACACGGGCATGGAGCATGCATATCAGAGGTCCTGTCAGAGGCATTTGAAAATCTCTCGTGCATTTGATGGACCATCTCGAAGTCCTGCTGATATGTGAGATTATTTTTTGCTGTGCCTTGACCGCGGTCCGGATTTGAAGTGCGTTTGATTGACGCACTTTTTCTTCTTGCGTTACACAAGAACATGTCTGCACCAGACATGGAACAAAACAGCGCCCCAGAACCTCGGGCCACAAGAGACTCCAGAGCCCTAGGGCCGAAAGCCATCAGAGATGAGATCCAACGACTGTGTGAGGTCGGCTTATTTGCTATACCGATACGCATGTACTGGGATTCTGGCAAGGACAAAAAAGATGCCGAGGGGAAGATAGTCAAACCCGCAAAAGCCAAAAAAGCTGCTCAATTTCCAACCTGGGCGCATATCACGACGCGGGAGTCGTGGGAGACGGCCATCAATGAAATAATGCAAGATTTTCGAGGTGCGAATGGAATTGCGATATTGACAGAGGCTAGCGGCATCATGGGAATTGACATTGATGTCACCGGCGATAACACAAAGAATCCGGGAACCGAACTTTGGAATCGAGTTGTTGCCATCCATGGAGAACCAGTTACACTGAAAGCAAAGAGTGGATCAGATGGACTCCATTACTATTTCAAGGCAAATTCGCCGGGCCTTAAACGCACACGTAACTTTTCTACTATGAAGGTTGATGGAAGGGTTTTTGGGGTGGATGGTCGTGGCGTAGGAGGGGTGATGTTCGCGCAACCATCAAGCTACGTTAATGGCCAAGGTGAGCTCAAGACGTACCAGTGGCTTAACGGCCCGCCAAGCTACGACGCATGCCAAGATATGCCTCAATGGCTCGCCGAATTGGTAAACAACAACGCCGGCGAGTGCGCTGTTGCGAGTGGCAAAGGAGAAGAACATGCACTTCACGAATCTTTGGTGGAGCGCAATAGCACTGGCACCAACTCTCTACCGGCAACTTCGGTAGTTGGCGAGTCCCATGAAAGATCAACAGCTGTCAAAGAGGTACAAATCCTGCTTCAAACAAAAACAAGGGAAGATGGCAGCGCGCGCTTTGGAGGCTTGACAATGCTTCCAGAGGGCAATCGTTGCTTCCAATTTCGTGTGAACGGCCCGAGGACTTGCTATCTTGGAAAAGAGCACAATGGATCAAACAACTTCACGGTGATTCAAGGATGTGCAGGAGACCTACGGAATGTATACTACCACTGTTTTGGCACGGCTTGTCAAGATGACAACACGAGACTCCTTGGAGAATTGAGCATCTCGGCTGCTCTTGAGCAGGCATCCGTGGACGAGTTTGGGATTCAAGATCACATGATTACTTGCGAGCGCAATCTCGAAGCACGATTGTCGACGGCGTTCATGAAGAGCATGGTGTGCCGAAGTGACTATGGTGCCGCCTCAATCTTTGTCAGGTTGTTCCAGCACGACAGACGAATCGTGTATGACGCGGGAAGCTTCTGGATTTGGGATGGAAGAACGTGGATTGCGTGCGATTCGGAAGCGACTCTGATAAAGAGCGCATTCATGTGCCACATGGGGAAAGTGAAAGCCTTTTGGATGAAGCGCATTGCAAATGAAGGTCGTGAGAAGATTCTTGAGGCAGAACGCACACGAGACGCCAGCTTGGCACAGCTCCTCGGTGCGAAGATGGACAGCCGATCGAAAAGGACCGCCGAGACGGCCATCATGAGAACTTTCAAAGCTTCAGAGAAGGACGCCGATCAATGCGCAAGATGGCCGGGACCTGACGTTGAATCGGTGCCAATTGCGACCCGATGCTTGACTCCTTTTAAATCTATGTTGAAGCTTGATGGCTTTGCCAAAGAGCTCAATGCGAGTCGCGACTATCTAAATACCACCTCTGGCGCAATCCATTTACCAACAGGCAAGCTCATACCACATCATCCAAGCAACATGCTCTCGAGAGAGACCGACACAGAGTATGTCGGACCCAACTATCCGTCACCGTTAATCGATGAATACATGTTGCAGATTCAAACTCCGGAAATCATTGAGGTCCTACAAATGACGCTTGGCTACGGCATCACCGGACATTCAAGAGAGAAGCAGTTTGTCATCTGCTATGGGCCTTCGAATTCTAGCAAGACAAAACTTCTTGCTCTTACAAAGGCAGCAATTCAATCGTATTTCTGCACAATGGATCGCGACTGCGTGATTGGGGTTGGTGTGAGGTCAGAAGGGGCCGCCACACCACATCTCTTGAAGCTTGAGGGTGCGCACATTGCCGTTTTAGAAGAGACAAAGCTAGAAGATGTCTACAACGGTTCCAACGTCAAGTCCATTGCGTCCGGTGAAGGAGGTATGAGCGTACGAGGGCTGCACAAGCAACCCGTAGAGATCACGTGCCGTTGTTTGCCAATCATTTGCACAAATTCGCTTCCGAGATTTGACGTCAAGGATAGCGGCACACTGAAGAAGCTTCGCGTGTTTCCTTTCAAGCGAGAGTTTGTCGAGCGGCCGAAGCCCAATACAAACGAGCGATTGATTGACTATCAGCTTTCTGAGAAGATTGAAAGTCCGGAATGGAGGAAGCAAATGCTTGCGTGGCTTGTGCGAGGGAGCATGGCGTGGTACAAGAAGGGGAGTTTGCCGCTGGTTGAAGAGCTACCTCAGGACATGCAAGATGCTCTCAAGGGCTACGTGGAAGCCAATGATCATCTCAACAACTTCATTGCCGATCATTGTATTAAAGGTGAATATAAGGTGGCCCATGTGGATGTTCTCAAGCAAGCGTTTGAGAATTACATCGGAAGACGAGATCGTCCTATGATGGTAACCGAGTTCAAAGTGCTAATGGATGGCGTCAAAGACACCACATTTGTAAAACAAATCAAGATTCGCGGGCGTAACACGACCGGATATCGAGGAATTAGTTTGAGGCGATGCTAATCTAGTGGTTCGTTCAAGTTAGCAAAGGCCGCAGAGAAGTCCAAACGTAGCTCCGACGTATTTGAGCAAGTGGTGGGGGGGGAGGTAGGTGAGGTAGGTGGAGGTAGGTGCTTAAAAATTGTTCGTTTTAGGTTTACTTTATGCTTATAATATAATAAAGGTAGGTAGGTATGTATTATAATATACACTATAGCAAATGTTATTTTTGTGCCATTGAAAGCACAAAAAGTTTGTCTTTGGCCAACAAAAAAGCCGTCTACCACCTACCTACCTACCTCAAAAGCGTTTCTACCGATCACCTAGCCCCCCCCCCCAAATTGCTGATCGTCTACCAGACTTTTCCACGCCATCTACCAGTACGTTGCTTTTCAAAGTAAGGATCAAAAACGCGCCGCCATCCTGTTGGCTCTTTGCAAGACACCTACCCTATCCTTGCAATAATACGGCGCGCATTTCAATTGTCCACAAGGCCGCCGCAACCGCGATGCTAAGCTTCGCGTCGTCGACTCGTCTCAAAGAGCTATTGTAGCCGCCGAGCAGCAGAGGCAAGATCACCATGAAGCTCTCAAGCCCTGAATACCACCCCAAACTCCTAAACCCCTTTAGGAAGCTGTTGACTGACTCCACGGCCGACGTATTGACCCAGTGAAGGGCTGCGTAACTCTCCGGGCAATTCGAGGGGCCGCACTTGTGCACTTCGGATCCAGCCTTCGCGTAGTGGAACCTGTGCATGGAAAGGTGTACATCAGTCTTTATTCGTAGAATAAGAGTTCATGTACACGTTTCGATCCAAGGATCACAACTCTCAGATCCGGCGCAACTGCAAATGAGTTTCAGTGTACACGCAACATTTAGATCGATGACTAAAGGCTCCACACAACAAAGACTGCAAATACGTCCCAATGTACACGAATAGTTCAAGCCCCATTCCAGCATTTGATCGGGCAACTTCTTACCTGTCGACAATAAATCTAACGTTGGCAAAGTGGGCCGGTGCTCGTCGCAGGCAGTAGTTGCGCAGCGCACATGCGTTGTTGTACACGAGGTACTGGGGCAAATCCTCGCGTTTCATCCGCGTGTAGAGCACGACGAACGCGTCCCTGGGGCTCTCCCCGCGCAGCATCGTGTGGAACCCGTATATCACTCTGTGGGGGCAACAAAACACAAAGACCCCCCGACTCCTATTCGGCCGCTTGCTCGCGTTTCCCTTCTTCCGTGAGAGCTTTCCGGCGCCCTTGATCAGCCCAAGTACGTTATCGGCGTCCCACTCCGTCATTGACTTTCCGGTGGCGCATTTGAACTCTTCCGAGCTTCTGCTCCGGCCGTCCAGGTGCTCGAAGCTGCTATAGTGCGGCAAGCCCCGCTTCTGCTCCCAACCAGGAAGGCTGTAGCACGCCAGGGCGTCCTGCTCGGCCCGGAAGCGATGCCCTGACGGAAGCGGATGCAGCTCGCCCCCCTCCTCGTCTTGCCCAAGCCTCTCTCTCAGAAGCGAGCGCTCGTGATCGCTCATGGCCTCCCATTGCTCCGCGCTCGGCTCTAACCTCTCGACCCCTGGGAGCAGCTCGTTCGCCAACCCTCGAGCCTCGTCTAGCCCTCGGC